ACATATTCCACACACAGTAGACCTCTGGACCATCTGCATAAGAATTCTTGTTAAGAAAAGAGGCATGGCCCAAATATGGATGTACAGTGGTGCCCCGCTTAATGATTACCCCGCTTGACGACGAATCCACTTCATGACAATGTTTTCGCGATGGCAATTGCGATTGCAAAACAATGTTTTAATGGGCTTTTTTTGCTTCCCGACAATCGGTTCCCTGCTTCGGAAGATTTTCTCTTTTTGAGATCTGTTACACTATGAGTCTCAGAAAAGATAGCCACTAGGTTAAAAATTTATAATTTAGGGTGACCTTATCACACATGTCATTTGCTGTTGAATTCTTAATACCTACACAAGTCTAAGCTCCCACGTACTGTAATGCAACGAAAGAACAGAAACACAGATTCCGTAACATTTGTTTTAACCTGGCTTCATTAATTGTTGAGTTGTACATCTGAGTTTTGTGGGACTGTTAGGTTGTGTGTTTTTTTTTAATAGCACAAGACACCTCAAGTCTGATCATGGCATTACAGTACAAATAATAATAATAATAATTAAAAAAAGAACCCAAATACATCTGCTTCATACAGTTTGGGGGGAAAAAAAGAGAGAATCTAAATATTTACAAGGGATGGATGGGAGGGGAATGTCACAAAAATATTTACATTAAAGTAACATGAGCTCATCGGCATATACATTTTACACCAGTTCTCACACACAGAAGTAAAAAAAAAAAGAAGAATAAAAAATAAGACACTATATAAATTAAAGAGAAGGAGACTTAGGAATCACCCAAGTCTTTCCGGGGTGATCCTCTTGTGTGGCTCAAAAAGACGACTCAAGTTTTCCACAGCAGGAAAAAAAAAATAAACTGCATAACCACCATCTCTTGTTCATTTTGCACTGGAACTATACAATAGAAAACGTACTGCAGACGCTGAAGCTACAGAGCGCATGTTAAAACTGCACCATGCCCGTTTCATCAGTTTCTGTTGCACACAATTCTGGAGGAAAATGTCATGCCGAAGCCCCCCTTTTAAAAAGCAAAACAGGAGCCCAGAAGTCTACCATTCTGTTCTCTAGCACTTAAACATGTCACTACTATGTCATCCTCGTACCAAATGAGACGGACGGAGGGCGGGGGGGGGGTCAAACACACAAGGGCCCAGAATTCTTTTCTAAGCAAAGATGAGAATATGTCTCAAGCAAAGTTTGGCTGAGTGTGGCAAGGGCTGCCTCAGCTGTGCTATTGTCATTGTGTCACTCTCGCCAAGCAAACAAGCCCCACCCCACCCCCCAGATTATGTCTGCAACGACATAGGCACAATTGTTTTCACTGTCATCTGCATAATTTTTTTAAAAAAACCTGATTAAAACATTTTTTTAAACTACACGAGACCTCAAAGTACTTGCTATTCCTACCTAAGGTGCCCAATAGAGGAGGTCTTACGTTTCCTCTTAACTTTCGATTTAAATGCATGCTTGTGAAGTGCAACTGAAATTAGAATATGTAGCAAGGGAGGAGTTCTAATGAAAGCTCAGCATTCAGCCATTAGGATAAAAGCAGCAAATAACAAGAGCGCAGAAAACCTGCCTGGTCTTCGGGTTTTTTTGTCGGAACTATCTTGACACCGTAGGGCTGTTGGGCTACATCTGGTAAGGGCAAGGATTTATGGCTGAGGTTAACTGCACTCCTCGTGTTGCTTTTGTCTTCTAGGGCAGTGGTCGCCAACCTTGGGCCTCCAGATGTTCTTGGACTACAACTCCCAGAAGCCTTCACCATAATATCTGCTGGCCAGGATTTCTGGGAGTTGAAGTCCAAGAACATCTGGAAGCTCCAGGTTGGGGACCACTGTTCTAGGGGTTTCCCTACTCCTCAAACTGATGGGCTCAAACTTAACCACTTCCTTCCCACTATTCAGGTTACTCCTTCTCTTGTGGAAGCAGATCTGTGGAGGCACTCAGCTCAAATGAGGAATGGGAAGGAGGGACCCCGAAAAGTTAAGACTCTTCACTGTTACAGAGTTCCAAAATTAACCACAGTACGTGAGCAGAACTGCATAGTTAATTTTATGGCTTTCTAAGGTGTGCGGGCGGCGGGTGTTTGCAGGCGCTCAAGACCGTAGAGCAGCATAAGATACAGGAGACCAGGGGGATTTTCATTGCGCCTTCAAACTTCGGAAACTTCTTGGGATTCCTTTGGTGGCCACGGTCATCCTGCCTTACTATTAGACAGTGCTTGCTGGATCTCCCAGCCCCCAAACCATGCTTGCAATTATTAGACGTTTGACATCGGAAGAGAGACAACTGGTAAAGAAGGGAAGACTGGATGCAACATCTGGTTTTGGATCTGCACTAATAGGACGCTCAGCTGGGGGAATACAGTGAGCTATCAAAGTGCTGTCATGGAAATGCCCAAGGCATTTCAAAACCCAGCCTGTGCGGCCCTTTCTCCTCACAGGGTGGCTAGATCTGTGACGAAGGGAAGTTTCCTCTTTCAGGTTTTGTGAAGTGCTACCACTGGGCATAAGATTTACAGGGGTTACACAGCAAGCTTGCTTCTGATATTACATGGAGGGCAGGAAACGTAAGGCTGGTCAATGGAAGGGATACAAGGAAAATTAAGGCTTTCATGAAGACAGAGGTTTGCCCTGCAGCCCTCGCTACCTGAACACTTACTAGCCTGAACACAACGCAACGTCCCCATCCTAACCCCCGAGGGAACCAATATCAGTTCTGGTTTGCAGCGATGCAACCTTTTTACTAGGATGAAGAACTTAATTGTGAATATTGGGGGGGACCCGTGAGGACCATGTGTATGCTTTGCTTGCTAGCCAACTCTCACAAAGAGCAAAATGAGCTTGCTTCAGATCACTGGTACATGGGAACAGTCTGAACTAGATGGCTCTCAGTTGACAGCAAAATAAAATTCTCCAGGTTCTTCACGAGGGGGCAGGGGAAGCTGAGGTAAACCTGGTTCACAGTGAGTTTCCTGGCCACGAAATTCACACTTAGCACATTCAGGAACTATGCCTAGGGAAAAAAATAACGTCCTGATCTTGAAAATTACACAATTCACACAACTACGAAAACAAGACAGGATCACTCTTGTCGTACCGACCCTAGGAAAAGTGGAGGACGCTGGAAAACCAAATGGCATCTTGCCTTTGGGAAGTGCTTCTGTGCCTCTGTAAAATAGGTGACTCTTTGAAAAAGCATGGAATGATGATGAACAAACCCTGTCCCAACAGGAGATGACACACAGGCCTTTTCCGTCCATCACCTGTGTTAGCAGCAAAGGCCTGGGCGGCAAAAAGGGACCCCAGATGCTTTCTACTGACTTCCACCCATCGATGCAGCTTCAGTGATCCAGAAACAGAAAGCATCTTGAGATGGACTCTGGCCATTTGGTGATTTCCTTCAGGCTCATAAAATCAAGTAAAATCTCTGTACTTTGCTAAGTAGAACCTGCCTATTTTTTTCACAAGGTGGGCACGTACCTACAGCCTAAGCCCCTACGGTTCTGGAGACATCTGGGGCCTCTTCCTGCTGCTGTTCCAGCAAGAACCTCATGTGAGAAAGCATTGTACATTTGTCACTAAAACTAATATGCAATTCTATTTCTGCACGTGTTTTTAAAATGAGAAAGATGGTGCCCTACAGAAGGTGTACAACATAAGAAATCTAAACGTATAACACAGAGCTACCTTACTTGGAGAACCGGGATACCTCTGGCACACCATATTTTGGATTCCCATCATCCGGGACAACCTGAACAGGCAGTCTGGGGCTGATAGGAAGTCTTCACCTCTGCCTTACTGACAGAAGGAGATGCGTGTGGTGGGCTGACGAACTTTACAGATACTTGGGTAAAGCCAACTGGCGCTTTCCTGCATCTGTAGACGGTGGCCACTAAATTCACAGCTGCGTTTTGGTGATAACCAGCTCTGAAAGGATTACCAGAAGTCGTTATATAATCCCTTTGTGAACCCTGTATTGAAAGAGACTAGGCAGAGTGCACAGATTCTTCGGGGAGGGGGGGATTAAAACAGGGTGTCCTCTCTTTATTCAGAATGCACTCTGCCTCTTTTGCACACCCTGCTGAAATGAGAAAGGGTTCATTCAGCAGAAGTTCCACGAATGCTCCGCTCACTGGTGGGTTGTGTAGGAAATTTATTTGCCCTAAAAAATGCTTTTTTCAAAGAGAATGCATGTAAAATATAGCTACTGCCTGCCAGATCTGGCAAAGCGGATCCACTGACAAAAATAGTTATGCTGATGTTTTCTTTCTTCACCCCACCTCATACTTTTGAACATTTGAGGAACTTGCTTGTTAAGAGAAAATATTTAATTGAATGACGTCATCGTCGCCCGTATCCCTGTCTGCATGCTTATATGGGTGGATCGATTCCTGATGGCGCTGGAGCTTAACAAGAACTAGAATTACACTTAGAGGAAACAGTACCACCCGTTTAAGGAAAATAAAAATAAAAAATGTGGCAGGGAGCAAATAATGTGACCTCATCTCTTTCCAGGGTTTGAGAGTATCAAGCCTAAAAGGACCAAGTTAAAGTGTTCACTACGGCTCGTGGTTCCTTAAATCTTCCCTAATGCTCACCTACAAGGGGCTCTTTCCTGGAAAGAAGTGGACGCCTCACTTGAACAATACATACATTATGCATGGGGTCCTGAAGGTCAGTGACAAAGATCTGAGAACTGCCGTTGCTTGAAACGTAAGGAACGTTAACGCTGCTCAGAGAAAACTACCCCAAATCTCCTCCCCTTATTTCTTCTCTTCCTGGAGACTGATTTTTCAAGTTTAAACCAAAGCCTACACAATTGCTGCAACCTACTTTTAAACAATGTGTATGTGTGTGTGTGAGAGAGAAAAAAATCTATACATTTACTAGATATAAAAACAGTAAGCGATGCGTGTGTTCCGGGGAGAACGCGGGAGGGCAGGAGGAGTTCAGTGGGGCTAATGGCAGGAATTGTTTTGAATCTTTTTTTTTTTAATTTTACGTATCGCTGAAAAAATAAACCAGTCCGCTGTCCAGCAGAGGCTGCGTACACTCTATCCCTTCTGCCCCTGAGCTCACTCCGCGTGGATCTCCGTCTCCGGCCGCTGTAGACAGAGCTCGGAAGGCAGGAACGCTCCCTGGCCCAAGGCCGTGGCATAAGTCCTACTGTGTGAATGAGCAAAAGGAGGCACAAAACCCCCTCCTCCAGCGTAGCCCCCTCCTCTTTGGTGCTGAGGCATGGTATGGTAATCCTCCAAATTATCATACTGGGACACCACAGTCATGGCGTTTTGGCGTTTCCCCAGGGTTTGGTACGGGTAGAGAAGGCTAGCGTCCCGCTCCGTGCTCTCCGCGTGTTGGAGGCGCAGGCTGTGGCTCCGTTCGGGCTTTGGGGGCGGGGCCACAGGTTGTCCGTAGTGCTCCCCCTCTTTATAGCAGTCTCGGGAGTGCTTCTCGGGTAGCCGGCCTCGAGGCCGCTCCGGTTCGGCTCTGTCCTCGGCCTGCTTCACCTCTTTGTGATTGAGCCTCAAGGTGTCGTGGTGGCCCGGGGCATACTTTCCGCCCGAGTGCTGCTGATACCCAATGGATTCCGGAGGCTCCTGGTGGCCCTTGGGCCGGTAATCGGGATAGTGGGCCCCGTTTTTAGGATCCAGAGGCTGCTTATGGCTCACGTCGTGGGGCAGATGTGTTCTGTGCTCAGCGGAATTACAACCTGCTTCGTGCTGCTTTCTGCTCCTGAGGCTGCTTTGCTTTTGAGAGAGGGGCGGCTTCTCTGCCTGCCCATTCCCGAAGGTCCCGTGGTAATGGGGTCTGTCTAGATCTGGTTCCGGATGGGGCGCATAGTAGTGGTCATCCCCCTCAGGAGTACCTACCTTGCTCGCGTACCTCCCTTCTTTCCCATCAGCAACTGTGAGGAGTCCAGTTTTCCCAGGATCGGATTTGCTGCGCAAGTGAATGACGTCCACAGTCCGTAAGTCGTCCTGTAACAAAGGGGCCACGTTGTCATACTGGGACATGACGGGCCCTTTCACTTTCTGGCGGGCACGGCTCTCTCGGCGGATGGACTGCATGCGGTATTTCTCCATGTCCTCCAGATCCCAGGAGACAAACATGGGCTTGAGGTCAGGGGCCGGGGGCACATCCCTGCTGATGAAGCTGTGTTCTTTGCCCGCCACGTGTCCCACGAGGCCTCCCCGAGGATACGGCGGCAGGCCTGGGTAACGATATAGACTCTTTGTCTGGAGCCTAGAGTAGGACGTGAAATCTCTGCTTGGGAGAGGATGGAACTGCCTCAGCCTCATGGTGCTGTAAGGGTCTAGGTCGCAAAACCCGCCGTCCGCGGCTGTGTAGCAGGAGGAGCTGGAGTAGGGGCTGTAGCGGTAATGGACCCTCCCGTTCTCAAAATAAGGCTGCAGCTGCGTCACATGGTAATCGGCATGGGGCTGATATGGCTTGTACTGGTAGAGAGGCCTCGGGCAATAGAGGGGCTCATCGTCAGGAGGCACCTCCGTGCGAGAGATGGGCACCGACCGGATGGTGGAGGGGGCGGTGACATGCAGGGAGTGGACCCGCCGAATGGTCGGGTAAGGTGGCGTCTCCTCGGCGTAGCTCGTGCTCCTCATGGGTGGGCTCATGGAGGACACGTACTCCACCCGGCTGCGAGGCTTGGCGTGATGAACGGACGAGGTCTTCCCATGGGTGGCGTAGGCGTTATACCTGGGGCAGGTGGAAGCGGGGGCCTCCGTGAAAGAAGGGTAGCCTGGATGTTGCTCCGATTTGCTGTGGTAGAGCGGCGGGGGGATGCTTTCGGCTCTATGCTGGTGGGCGGAAGTGAGCTTGTGGGGTGTGTAGTTGTCAGGCCCTGGAGGCTCAGAGGGGCCCTCAGCCTTTGAGTGGGAAAAATAGGCAGACTGGAGGCCAGCTGGTTTAGGTGGGGGTGGGGGCGGTGGGGGTGGCAGCAGGTCCTCTGCCGACGGCGGCGATGGCAGCGTGGAAGCAGCCGCGAAGGAGTGGTACCCAGCAGGATTCAGGGCATCCACGTGGTTGGAATGCATGGCGGCTGCTATCTTGCTTTCTATTGTTCTCACAGGCGGGACTGGAGGCGTAAATCCGTACGAAGAGGGAGCTGGAACGGACTCGGACCTCGAGTGCAAAGGGGGAGCCCTGACATTCTCCCGGGGCTTTTCCAAATGCCCTTGGTGGAACGTTGCGATGGGGATGGCCGAAGTGCACTGGATGATGGCGCTGTCCTCAGCCATGCAAGCAGGAGCCGGCTCAGCGGGTCGAGGTTCCGGCGGATTGTCTGGCGTGGCTTCTCCTCGCACCTGGCATGAGAAAGCACACCAAATCATGACCCTTGATCCACAACCACATTCAGAGCTGGACTCAAACTTCAGGGACAAACTGAACTGGTTTCTCTTTGACAAATAAAGAAACTCAACTAAACCCATTCTTTTTGGAGACAACCACAAGCCAAACTGGATGGGGAACAGCCTACTTTGCTGGAGGCATGCATGGATGTTCTCGTAAGGTTTCAAGCTGTGTTTTTCAACCAACAACACTCATGCAGTGTATAAAACAGTTCCCCCCCTCCCATATGAAAATCTAAATATTACTGTCATAATTTAAACAAACACAGAGAGACAGACACAAAAGAACAACTAAGGGTGATGCTTTCCGGAAATAGAACGAAGTGAGATCTTATGCTACTATCAGAAAGCCGGAAGATGAGAGCTGGGCCAACAGAATGGTCAAAAGAAAAGAACATAGTAAAACATAGTAAAAAGGAATGGTCAAAAGAAAAGAACATAGTAAAAAGCCCTAAGGTTGATCTCAGGCAAGGCTCTGCTTATCACTGGCCCTGGTGATGACATATCATCATTGTATAGGGTACTCATCAGTAGTCAAATGGGGAAGAACCTTATGTCAAACTTTTGTCTCCTTTACTGTGCATACAATGCCTGTGCCTTCACTTCAAAAAAGGTGGTGGAAATTTAGCCTAACTCAAAGCAAATCTCAGTCAAAAGGCACCCATATGTCTCTACTGGAAAGAAAAAAACACAATTATTCTTAAGAGGGTGCTGGCTTTTACTGTCAGCCATAGGAGATAACACTGTCTGCTGCTATGCTTCCTAGAAGACTCATGCCAATATTTTGTTATTTTCAAGAACTGTTTTAGATGCTATCCTAACAGCGATATCCTAATTTTCAGGCTATTTTTTTTTCCTGGGAGCAGCGCCTTCAAGCATGCTTACCAAATGCCTTTCTTACCTACTCCATGCCTCTGGGCACTTTTAGAGGAAGGAAAGAAAAAAAAACTAATAAAAGCACAAAAAGTAAACTGGGCAGGTGGGGATACATGGACATATTTTTTGCCCAGGACTTTCAGTTAATCATTACATCCAAAATGGTTGCTGACGGAGACGTTGGGGTGGAGACGGGCTTCCGATCAAGGATTACCTGGCAGAAGTTGGACAAAGCTTTAGTGGCTGCAGCAGGAGCCTGTCCCACAGCTGGCTGATGATCTGCTGGTTTCTGCGGTGGAAGCTGGTGGCCACCCGCAAGAGCGTGCGGAACGGTCACGAGACCCGCATCTCCCCATGTGTAGTTAGCGGTGACTGGGCTCGGCTGAGAAGTTGCAGTACTCTGGGTAGACACTACAGGATCCGTGTCGGTTGCCACTGTCTGGTTCTTTATCATGTAAGCGAGAGCCATGGCGGCTGTTTTCTCTCCAGCATTTGTGGGAGGAAACTGGAGTTTATCATCTCCCGCGCAGGCGGGGAAATGTAGTTTGCTGCTGGTGTGGTTCTTCTCCATAGACAGACAAGTATGGAGTGGTGGGGCTTCCACAGACATCTCTGTCATGGATGGTTCTGGCTGGACGGATCCTCTCACACCAGAGGGAGGGTGGCTCTGATCCTCAGGTGTAACAGAATGAGCAAGATGGTGTGTATCTCCCAACATATATGGATGGAAGTGGGGGTGGTCCCAGCCCATGCTCTGAAGGCTTCCTGGCATGTCAGCAGAGAGAAGGGTAGGATTCCGGTTTCCAGGACCACCAACCTGGAGGTGGTTGCTACCTTCAAGCATGGCACTGTTTTGGAGGCCCTGATCCACAGGTAATCCACTCCGGTGGTGGTGATCCCCAGGCATAGTGCCCTGAAACCCCAGCTGATCCTCTGGCAGGTGAGCATAGAGCTTTTCTGAAGGAACACTAGAATACGGATGGAACTTTTCTGCAGTTCCTCCCGTCTCGGCCTCTGCCGAGCCGGTACACTCAGACTGAACCTCTGGTTTCTTCTGGGTGTGAGCGGAGGCTTGCTGGGCAGACTCTGCCAAAGCTAAGGCTAGTATGCGAGCTGCGTTTTTCGGAGGAGGAGGAGGGACAACAGAGACAGAATTGACGGGAGCGGCATCCTGGGGGGAGTCGAGACTTCCTGCTCCTAGTGGGAGGAAGAGTAGAAAAACAAAAGGAAAAAAAAGAGAATGATTTATGTTATCCTGTCAGGAGAGCGAGCAATCCCTATAGAGAGCGTAATTTTTTTAAAAATAGATGCCTCCACCATTTGGCAGTGGGAACTTCTTGGCGTGACAAAGGGCGTCTTCGGTCAGACATGCAAACCGGGATAGCAGTTCGGCGTGAAAAGTGCAAGAGGTTCCTGTCGCACTCCTAGAGAGTTAGGCAGTAGATAATGCAGAAAGGAAAGGCCAGATCCGTGGGCTGGATCTTTCGTACCATTTAATCAGAGGTTACTTTTGGCCAAAAAAAAGAGAAGAGGGTCCCCTTCTTCAAGTGTAGCCAGATTTATTTATTTATAGTTTTAAAAAAAATAGAAGGTCTATCAGGTGGCATTATGGATTTGCAAGGATGGCAAGCGATCGTTTTTCATGTTATGAAAGAGTGAAAAGATATAGGGCTATATAAAATATTCAAGCATTCATTATTTGCGATGCAAGGAGACCGCAGAGAAGCTTGGGGGGGTTCCTTTAATTCTCTCTATTAGGACCCGAGCAACCTCCACATGCTCTGGAAGACACACACTCTGGCTCTTTATTGCCAGATTTTTTTCCCCCTCTCTTTTTTTTTTTAAAGGCACGCAGAGAAGCAAGAGAGCCGGTCGCTTGTGAATTTATAGAAAGAATGGAGGAAAACACACTGTACCTGGCTGTATCTGTCCAGCAAGTACAGGCTTACTCTGGCTGCTGCTGGGCATGGGTGGGTCCGTCTCTTCGTGAAGATCTGGTTTCTTAGCATCTTCTGGATTCTGGTGTCCTTCACTGGATCTCCCCTCATTGGCTTTCAGGGGTGATGTCACCAGTGGCGGTGGGGACACGGACATGGATTCACTGGTGCCAAAATTTCCTTTGGCCCAGTCTGAAGGGGCCAAGCTCCCTGATCCCCCTCCGATTACGACGTCCGGCATTCGGCTGGTTATAGTGAAGGAGGCTGGCTCTGATATGTTCGGTGGTGATTTCAGTGGCTTTCGCCCCATCTTGGGGGAGAAGGCGTGAGCAATCTTCTCAGAGAAAGACTGGGGCTTGGATGGCTTCTCTTCCGTGGGGCTCAAGTCTAGAGTGAAGAAGGGACTCATGGTCTTCTCTTGATAGGGGGAGACGGGTTCCGAGCTGGTGGCACTTCCAGGGGTCTGACACTGGCTGCCTGAATCTAGCTCCTTCTTGAAGACGCTTGGCTTGTCCTTTAAATTAAAGTCTACCGACTCCAGCAGGGAATTGCTACTGTCAAGACACTCTGACTCGGCTTTTGGGGGACTGCACTGAAAAGACATGGGATCAAAATCCAGGCTGGCCACCCCAATTTCAGGTGGGCTCAAGTCAACATCTTCTGATGATTTCGGAGAGATCAGAGCAGGAACATGGAGATGCCCCTCGTCTCCGTCACTCTCGTGGTCGTGGGGCAGGTTGTCATAGGAATTGCATCGGTTCATGTTCCCTAGGAGTTCTCCATTAAAAGAAGCAGACAGTGCATCGCTGCTCGACCTTGGCCTCCGGGGTCTAAACAGCTTGGAATCGCCTAGCAAGGAAGAGAGCAAATATCCATTAGTCTATACTGTTAAGTTCCATTATGTAACATTGTCTTGCTGTTTATGTTGCAGATAAATAAATTACAAACATGGTTGTATTTTGTATTCGCGAAGGCTTTCACGGCTGGGGTCTGATGGTTGTTGTGGGTTTTTCAGGCTCTTTGGCCGTGTTCTGAAGGTTGTTCTTCCTGACGTTTCACCAGTCTCTGTGGCCGGCATCTTCAGAGGACTGGAGTAGGAACAACAGAACATGGACAGAGTTCCTATTCCAGTCCTCTGAAGATGCCAGCCACAGAGACTGGCAAAACATCAGGAAGAACAACCTTCAGAACACGGCCAAAGAGCCTGAAAAGCCCACAACAACCATGGCTGTATTTCCCCCCTGTATCTTGTGTCTTGGAAATACATTTTGTACTCTTACCTTATGTGATCCCACAAGTTTTGAGCTAAAATGAATGGCACACACCCCTGCCACCCCTCCTCGCCCTGCTATTGAGTTATTGCAGTTGTGCTATTCCCAGTTGAACAGCGAGAAATATCTGAAATTTCTATTTTGGACTTTTTTTTAAATGGTAGTGGAGGAATTGTTAAAATTGCCCCCTTTTTAAAAAGAAATCACATCTGGTTTATTAAGGGACAAAAATGACCCCACCTGGGGGGGGGGCGGCTGGACCCAAGAAAAGTTTCCATCTTACCATCAATGGCATGTAAAGACGAGAGTGATTCTTCGCTCTTAGCCGAGCGCAGGGTCCCACTGTCTCCTCGCCCTCCTGGTCAGCCAAAAACAGAACAGAAGTAGGAAATCAAGTCAACGTTCTCAGAACGTTCTCGGGAAAGTATATATATACATTTTTCTCAACAGAAAATAGTACATTCTTGATGGCAGTGGTTCCCAGCCTTTCATGTCTTATGTCCCCTAAACTCTCTGTCAATCCATCACAACAGAAAACAAAGCAGACAGTTTCCTTAGGAGGACATTTATGTTTTTACTGGCATTCTTTTATCACAGTTATCATTTATAGAAGGGGTGGGCAAAGCGAGGCTCTCCAGATGTTGTTCGACTCTAGGCTATGCTGATTAGAGATGATGGGAATGGAAGTCTGCCTTCATGTTGCCCCTTCCTTGAATTATCATAAATTCTCAGGACACTGAAACTGCAGTAAAACATTTTTTTGCAGAGTAAATATTAATACAAATTGTTGCTCGTAACTAGAACGGGCAATGATTCCATTCATTCACTTGCAGGAGGAGAGTTTTTGAGGGTGATCTAGACAGCATGCAGCATCAAAAAGTACAGGATACTGGGGGGAGGGTATTCATTACTCCTTCAAGCTTAAGAAACCTTTCAGAATGTATGAGCTTCCTTTTGTGGCTGCAATCATGCTGCCTTACAATTATACAGCACTTGCTAGATCAATAGCCCCCAAACAGATGTCAAATGAGATGTTTGGCCATCAGTGATGGGAAAGTCGATTCTCAATTAATTATGTTTCAAATCCTCGTCCTCCTTAGACTGCTTCTGGGTTCTACTGGAAGTATACATCCCCACTGTCTGGAAACCCAATTATTTACTATAATTGGCTTTTAAAATGGGGGTGGGGGGCATCCAGGTTATCTTTTGAACACCATAAGGTAGTGAGTTTGGTCTTAGGGCAGCAACTTTTGAATCAGGATGACAGAGTGATCATCAAAACAGCCTTATATTTTCTTTAGCATACTTGCAATGGTGAGTAATCAGTTCAGGAATGGTGCACCTCCTTTGGGGAAGGCTAACATGCATCATGCTAGTAACTCTACTTAAGCAACAACACAGGCCAGTACAGTGGTGTCTCGCTAGACAATGATAATCCGTTCCACTGAAATCGCTGTTTAGCGAAATCATTGTCTAGCGAAAAACATTTCTCCATTGGAATGCACTGAAACCTGTTTAATGTGTTCCAATGGGGAAGAATCGTCGTTGTCTAGCGAAGATCGGCCATAGGAAAGCCGCTTTGCAAACCGCCACTCAGCTGTTTAAATAACTGTCTTGTGAAGCTAAGGTCCCGAAAACACCTGTTTGTGAGCACGGAGGGAGCTGTCAAAATCGTCGTCTAGCAAAAATCAGTTTGCGAAGCGGGGACCAAACATTGTCCAGCGAAATCCCCCTATAGGAATCACCGTTTTGTGAATCGCTATAGCGGTTGCAAAAAGTCAATGTCTAGCGACAAAACTGTCATGCGGGGTAACTGTCTAGCAAAGCACCACTATATTCTAAATGACAAGAGGACCATCATTCCACAATTTACTGCTGCCGTAGAAGGGCAAAGGGGTGGCGGTCCTTACCGGCCAAGGCTATTGCTTTCATTTCGGAAGGCTCACTTGGATTGCGTTGCAACTTCCGTTTGGAGATTGAGGATGATTTCCCCAGGTTGAAGAAAGAGCGCCAGCTGCCAACTGGGGATTTCTTCACTTTACTGGGCGGTCTCTTTCTGCAGGGAGATAACAGATAGGAGATTACATTTTAAAAAATGTTCTAAAGGTTGTAAAGCATACCTAGTTATTTTTAAAAAGATGAAAGTAGAATATATAGTTGCACATTCATTATTTGGCATTAATGAAGACAAACCAAACTTTCATGTCTACTTGAGACAGATATTAAAGAATATTTAAATGTAAAAACTCTTGTCTATTAAGGATTATAATACTGATTTAATGTGTGTGTTCTGCGCCATCAAGTAGGAACCAAATTATAGCAACCCTAATATGGTTTTCAAGGAGAGTAAGATATTTAAGGAACGGTTTTACCAGTTCTACTTTCCTAGTGAGTTTCCATGGTGGATCGGGGATTCAAAACCAGTTCTTCAGAATCCTAGTCTGTCACTCTATCCACCATACTAACCTAGGAATGCCATAATACTGACTTGAACCCAAGACAGAGAGGCAACTGCAGGTTGACAAAAGGAGTGCTCCCACTTCCATCGTACTTAAATCCACTCTTCACAGGTAAATCTTTTCTTTCAATAATTTGCAGTCAAATTCCCCTTGTCATTCCTAACTTTGGCTCAGGTCTAGGTTGAGATGTTGCTGTTTAGTTGTTAAGTCATGTCCGAGTCTTCGTGACGCCATGGGCCAGAGCACGCCAGGCCCTCCTGTCTTCCACTGTTTCTCTGTGATCTAGATTTGGACCCGGTACCTACAATTGCTGATCCTTAATCTTTTACCAGCAGCATTTCTGCAATGAAAGAAATGTAAGGAAAACATTTTGTAGAATGGCATATGCCTGCATTAATACTTATTATTTCTACACAGAGAGAAAACTCTGTGTTTCCCTTGGATCTCAGTCATATGCATATTGTATAATCCGCTGATGCCTCTCTACCAATTAATCTGCTGAGCTGTGAAGGAGGAGGGAGGGAGTCCTCCAGCACCACAGTTCAAAAGCATCAATTCTTTGGGGGTCAGCCTTCTTTATGATCCAGCTCTCACTTCCATACATCACTAGGTTCTCTCTCTCTCTCTCTCTCTCTCTCTCTCTCACACACACACACACACACACACACACACACACACACAGAGACAGACAGACACATAAGAGACACACATACCTTTCAGTTGGAAAGTCTATGATGGTATGGAATTTTCCTTGTAGAGCAGCTGGTCCTTCACCCACTTCAATGTATTTGCTGTCTGCCACAATAGGAGAGTTTATCTGGGCCTGTGTCCTTGCTTGTGCTTCTTCTAAAGTGAGCAGTTTTGTGGAGGGAGAAGATACCAGCAGGGATTTAGGTCGTGATAATGAACTGTGACCTGCAAGAAACACAAGACCAAGAAAAGACAAGCAGGTGAGTGGAGTGCGAACAAGGGCCAACCTAAGAAACAAACTGGGGGAGTTGTTTGCACAGGCTAGCTCCTTATTCAATCCACTACACCAATACAGAAATTGAGGGCCATATGATCACCAAGAAATTTTTGTAAAATGAAAACAGATTTCTTTTTGGAAACACAATTCCTTGTAGAAAAATCCATGATGATCCATAGGGTCCCTTCCAGCTCTGCAGTTCAGAGGTTTTTATTATTAAGAGAAAAACCTGCTCGTGAGATTTCCTGCCCAAGAAAAAAGAAAAATAGAAAGCACGCAAGGAAGAGAAAGGGAAGAGACCTGAGAGGGAGGGAAGTGAGGAAGTTCACAGTCTTGAATTCCTCCAGCTTACACTCATGATTGTTTTTAGTTGTCCTTTGCTCTCCATTTTCATATTTAATTATCCCTTTTATCCATATTCTTGTTTCCACCATTAGATGCAGCACTCCATTGATCATTCAAAAACAAAAGTGGTTTCTGAAATCCCAAGGCAGTTTCCTTGGGTAGCAACAAGACTTCATCCATCCATCCTTCTCTTTCCCAAGCCAATCACTAAGCATGCTGACGAAAACCAGGAACCCTCCTTTCTTCCTGACACTTGTCTATGAAGATCGGATAGAATGATGATGATGATGATGATCTTGGGACTGCATCGCTGGAAGGGGCCCTGTGGATTATCGGGTTCAGCCTTTGTCAGGGAAACACAGTGGGAATCAAACTCCCAATTTCTGGTTCCACAGCTAGAGACCCAGATATATCTATCCAGCAGGCAGCTAGAAAGGCTTCTCATTCGGCAGTAGCACAATTGCAACAACTCCCCCAACTCCAAGCATGTGGAGCACGGTCTCTACTCTGCAGAGTATCATAGCAAGAAATGCCCCGAATATTTCTCTGTCCCAGGGGCCATGCTGGCTGCTGACGGGAGGAACTGCAAGTCCTACCTGCACTCTCTCGAATGACGGAGCTTAGTTTGGAGCTGAAAAGGACATCCACGTGATTGAGAATGAATTCCACAACTACCGACTGGATTCGCACTTCCATAAAAGCGGCTGTTCCACTGAAGCAAGCGGATTCTATTTGCTTTGATCTAAGGGAAAAGAAGAGAGGTTAAATATCAACCGTTACAACAGACAGGGTGAGTGCCAGAACACCATGTCAATCTAATGCTGGTGCAGAAACTTCAGACGTAGCCAACTGTTCTGTCTTTTCACAAGTTCAAAGGAAGGCTTAGTGTAAGGTAGGAAACCTGCCCACTCCCTGTGGTTGGCCTCCAATTCATACCATCCCTGACCGTTAGCCATACATATGTGGGGCTAGTGATAGTTGGGAGTCCAAGTATATCGTAAAAAGTCCTCACTCCCTGTTTAGAGGTTCCACCTACATACATACATACATGCATACATACATACATACATACATACATACATACATACGTGTCTGTTTGTATGTGACACACACACACACACACATACGTGTGTGTTTGTATGTATGTGTGTAAAAATTTGCTTTTTAAAAAACTTCTCTCCTAGATTCCTTCTTTTTTAACTAAAGCTTCTCATCAGCGACATACAATGTTCTGGGTCACCCTTATATGCACCTTAGCCATTGCAGGTGGGGAAAAAATGATACTGGAAATAAAAATACACTCCTCCACTAACAGTCCAGGGTTGAAGAAAAGGCTACCACACTCTCCTGAAAATATGTGGAGACACAGTTTGTGAGGGACTTGGCAGGATTAAAGTGTACCATAGGACCTCCTTAGCTATGGGGTGGATATCCACTAATTCACTTATCCAAGGTCTGAAAATACTAAAAATAAAATTCTCCATCCTCCACAATATTGTTAATGATGGTTATCAGAACTGGCCACTAGAGGGAGCCAGAGATCATGCTATTTATAGCATTTGCTGCAGAAATACTTTCCTACGATTTCATTACCAGGACTGGCCACTAGATATATAGAGTTCAGTATCAAAATAGCATTGCAGATGCAGAGTTCCTACTGTGCAAGCTTAGAATACAGCCGTAAGTTGCATACACACAAAGTGCAGCAATGTAAACATCTGGCTTACACATTTTGCCTTCCTCTGTTTGTGTATACTATAAGATAACAAAGTAATTTTGCATGCAAGTTTCTACATGGAAAAGCACCAATGAAGTGTGTAAGACATATACAATTTAACTCAACAGTCCCGGTCTTGCTCTCTCTCTCTCAAAGTTTCTGTCTCTCTTACTCTCAAGGTTTCCATTTAAGAACCCTTCCCACTGCTGTCAATAAAGGTTCTGACATGAAGCACCGTATTTTTCGCTCCATAAGATAGACCTTTCCATAAGACGCACCAATTTTTTAGGAGAAGAAAACAGGAAAATATAATCTGTTTTCTTCGCTCCATAAGACGCACAGACTTTCCACCCCCCTGTTTTGTGGGGGCAAAAGTGCGTCTTATGGTGCAAAAAATACGGTACATTTTTTTTAAAGGAAGATATTGAGAGTGAGAGAGACAGAGATAAGCACTAAATCTCTAAAAGCACATTTAGTGCTTAATACCATCTTGTGTTTAAAGCACGAAATCATCCCGATTAAGATAGCAGATCTCCTATGTGAAACAAAAAAACTTACCTTAGCAGGTTTGGTGCCCAGACAATTGCTAAATTCTTGGTGTGCATGTTTGTGATGGCACAGTAATCAGCGAGATGAGCCAAGTGCCTCATTAGGAACTCAAGTGTCCTGGAAAAATCAGGTAGAAACATTCGTGATAAAAGCAAGGACTTAACGCTGTGCCACATTTTATATATTTTCATGGGTGGGGGAAGGAGGGAAATTAATTAGCAAAATGTGGTACCCTTAAATGTGTCCAAATAAAAATAAAAGCAAACATATCTGTTTTTGAAATTTCTTTTTGTGCCACAAATTTTTTTTAAAAAAAACTTTTATTTTTATTTTGGAAGTCCAGCGTTCTTGGATACCGCATGTTTAAACAAACAGTTATTTTATTCTCCCAATCAGTCATTCCTGACCAGTTTTTATCCAAAGCCATAAATACAATGTGAAAGTCATAGAGGCTGAATCAGGATTAGAGATGGGCACAAAGCACCGGTTCGGTGGTTCGTGTCAGTTCGTCCTTTGGACAAATGGGGGTTCACTTCTTCCCAGCCCCATTCCTCCAGTGGACACCCACTCAGAGGCAGAGTCCTGGCTTCCCTGCTCCTCCTCCTCTAGGTGCAGCCTCTGAGTGGACACCCACCAGAGGAGACCTGGCTGGGAATTGCTGAAGACCTGTTCGCACAAACTGGCACGAATCGCTAAGCTGGTGCTTCATGCCCATCTCTAAATCAGGTCTGTATTAGTCTCGTAACAAACCTTATCAAGTGGTGTGTGAAGAATTGTGTTCAGTCTGTGGCTCCCTTCAATTATGCCAGGGTTGCCCAAGGGGTAGGGTGGGCATATGGCCTATATTGAGAATGGCTGCTCCCAATAATCCAGAAAGCTCTAGTGGTCATCCCCTCGGACACCACTAGAGGGAGACTTTGCATTGTGTATTCAAGGTACAAATGGGAACCACTGTATGAATACCGACCAGCAGAATCACTCTAGTCTTCTAAGGGATAAAAATAAAATCTGACCTGCTTCAATGAGGATATTAAACATGTTAGAAACATCAAGAGTTTACACAATGGAAGAAGGTGGGATATTCAGTGTGTAAGAACAAAATACTGGACTTGGAGGGTGGGAATTCTATCTAAAGGTGCAAGGCAAACCTTTGAAAGAATGACAAAAGTTACTTATCCTCGGAGAAGCAAGCTTTGAAATGCTTGTGAACAAAGCTGAACTAAAATGTCTTTGAATTTGCCTTTCCATTTTTGTTTACATCCAGAAACTTTTATCTGTCATTTCTGTGATCAGAAGGTGTATGTGAATAGCTAGTTCCCACCATACATGGGAGACAATCCTTTTGTCCTGGAATTATAATATACAGACATAACAGAACAACTCAAAGGGTTGGATTTGACAATTTGTGGAAATACATGGAAAATTGTGCAGTAAATTTTAAAGAAAATGGGGAAAGAGTGTTTGTAAAGAGACAGGGCAATAATTAAAAGGAAAAATGGCTTGGAATTTTAATGAGTATCATATGCTGAAGAATAATTCAGTAAAATTTCTCTGAAAATGCAAACATATTATTATACACTCCAGTAGCCAATATGACTAGCACAACCAGTATAAAACTAGTGGTACAAATTCCAGCCACATATACTGATTAGTGGCCCAACTCCAGGTTGTATCAACGTTAAACATGACTAATTCAGGTCATCTTTCAGTGCAGAATCCAGATGTTTCAAGGTATGGCTGATGTGGGTCAGAGTAAATATGCATTCTGTGCTTCCCAGTTCTACTAAGCTAAGAGACACAAAGCAGCCATCCAGGCAGAAGAAAACAGACTACAGCAGCTAACGACTGTTGCTCATTCTTGTTGGGTCAATAAGTCGCAAGAAAACCACAGACTCCAAAAGGACTTTACTCTTCTTCTTCTACTACTAATATTCTTTGTTTCTATAAAAACATAGAAAAGACTTTGCTTGTCTATTTTACTGTACCGTCAACTTGAATCCAGATGCCCGCATATGTTACTGGCAATCGATGGCTCCAAGTCTAGCCAGGGAATTCCTTGAAGGAGTTCCCAGTTCCCTAAACCACTTTTCTGACTCATTTTTCCCTCCTTGTCCTTGATGTGGGCAGCACCAAACTAAATCAGTGAGCCATCCTAGTTCTCTGCTGACAATTTTGTCCATTTGCTTGCCAGCTACAGTCAGGCGTATTTACGCTTACATTAGCATTTGGGGGAAAAAATTCGCCTTCACTGGCAATCAAATTTACAGAATTTTGTCTTGAAGGCAAGATGAGAGCCCTCTATTTCTTACAATTTCTGTCTATTTTGCACTCTCTCTGTTAATATTTCTACCGTGCCCTTCCGGGCTCTTGTATGTCCTGCTCTTTGCCCACTGCATATTCCATAGACTGTCAGCGAAGATTATGCTGAAGATATGTCTGTCTTGTTATTGATTTAATTAAAGTGGAAGGCAACTTTATGCAATTCCAAACCCTTCGGCATGCATTCAGCTATTTCATTTTTAATCCATGCAAAAACAATGCTGCTTTAGGAAGCCAGCTGTTAAGAACTGGAAGGCAAACAGAAATTGTTAAACACTTTTTAAAAGTGTTCATATAATTGCATATTCAATGTCTAAACCACTTTGGAAACAAATGTACGAGCCCAGGATCCTACATGTTAATAGATGGGTTAATGTATTCTATGATTCCTCTTTGTGCATTGCTAAAGCTTTGGGGGGAAAAACAGGAAACAAGTTAGTGTAGATTTTAAAGACATTCTGGAATAACTAGGCACACTAACCTGTAGTGAGGTGGAGGTAACTGCTGGATGACATCATGGATTTTAACTAATCGTTCTTCATCTGTAGCAGCAGATACAGCATCCTAGAAGAAAACAAGAACAACAGATGTCAGGGCCATGGATTTCTTGCAGTGCATCACATTATCCGGGTGACCCACGTCTAAGTATTTTTTAATGACCAGAATTCTATTGGTGTTTACATAAAGTATCCATAAGTTGCTGCAGCTAATTGCTGAGATGCTGGGATGCATCATGACTGCAGACTTAGTAAAGCTCTCAATTGTACATGCAAGATGCACCCAGTCATCTGTGCTATAGTGGTGCGTTGCTTAACGATTACCTCGTTAAACGACGAAACCGCTTGATGAAGTTTTTGCAATTTCTTTTGCGATCGCAAAACGATGTTTTAATGGTCAAAATCGCTTAACGATGATTGGCTCCCTGATTCGGGAACCAATTTTTCGCTAAACAAAGATTTTGAAACAGCTGATCGGCGGCTCTAAAATGGCCTCCCGCTGTGCAAAATGGCTCCCCACTGTGTTTTCAGGACAGATTCCTCGCTTTACAGGCACCAAAAATGGCCGCCCTATGGAGGATCTTCGCTGGACGCTGAGGTATTTCACCCACTGGAATGCATTGAACCGGGTTCAATGCATTTCAAAGGGCTTTTTCATTTCAGTTATCGAGGATTTAACTTAACAGCGATTTCAACGGAACAAATTATCCTCCTCAAGAGAGGCACCACAGTATATAATAGCACAGATAAAGAGGGAAAGTGCCCATCCTTTAAACTTGATTTTAACTTATTCCTAAAAATATTGTACAAGTGAGATGTCCTTGGAACATGGATTCACACTAATACTGCCCATAGAAGGAAAAATAAGAGCGCCTGCTGGCACTTACTGAGAATTTTTCATAGAGCTGATAGGTGAGCAGAGGATTTGGAAGCTCCCGGAAGTACAGTTTACACAGGGAACCCACACAGTGTATATCCTGAATATATACATCTTTTGTCAAGTCAGGGATTTGTTCCGAGTCAAATTCATGCCTGGAGCAAAGAAAAAATGGACAGGGTACCAGGGAAAAAAAGGAAAAATATATATAACCCAAAGATGACAAGGGTTCCATTTACAGGAAGACATAAACCCCAAACCACATTTTTGCGAAGTTCACATTTTTCCTTGATGAAATAACATCTTGGGAGGCAGTTTCAATGGTTTTACAGCTAGCAGCTTTGCTCAAAATTCAGACTGGCCACAATGTAGAAGAGACTATTTTATAAGTGAGTTCATAACAAAAACATACTTAGCCAAAACATTTCAAAAGTTAACGTCTTTTATGAGTAGACCAGAAAATAAATTCCCACTTTGGGGAGAGGGCAAATCCAATTATTTCTAAGTGACCAATGACTGCCTAGGTAGAGCTTTGAATTTGAAAATTCATTGTCTTTCAGTCTGAAGACCCTAAGAGCAAAATTGTGGACACTATGGAACATCCAAGGCCACCCACCCAGAAGTAACAGGGCACTCTTTTTTTAAAAAAAGACTCTAAAGAGAGCCAGAACTGCCAATGCTTGTTCCATGCTAGTTAACATGCTTGGAAATTGCTGCTTCTGAGATGCAGGAACTAATATGGTCAGTCAGTTAGCTGAGATCACAGAACAGAAAACTATAGCTTCTGAAATTTGCATCTACATGAAGCGTAACTAAAAGAGCCAATTCCTTGCTATTTCGCAGGCATTCTGAAATCATTGAGAGTGGCCCTAAAGTAACACAACATCTGTTCCGGCCAGCAACCTGCTTTTAATTTCTACGACACATGGAAAAATGGGCCAAGCTCCATTCCAAAATTTAATTTGTTTATGAGCTGACCAGACAATAAATTCTACGAATGAGCTTTGGGAAAAGAAGGGAAATTGATGTCTTCAGAAGGAAGTTAGCATGCGCTGGACCTGAAGAAAGCGACACATATGAAACATACCGCAGCTTCTGGATATTAGATGCAATCCCAGATAGGCGATATATTCCATCAACGATGCCATGCTTTTCAATGAATTCAGTGCAACTCTTGAGGACCTGGGGGACTTAAAAGCAAAACAAACTATTTTAATTGACCACAAGATGTTCCCACAATGACAGTACTAGGTTCTTCTGTGTCAAGTAGAACTTATTTGAGGAACTCTATGGATTAGATTATATCCTGAATCACTCTGATTCTGA